GAAATAAAAAAATAAAAAGTACACATAAAAGAGCAATTTAATAAACACAACTAAGAGTAACTTTTGGGGAAAACAATTTAATGTTGATGTTATGTCACAAGCTGTAGACTAAACACTTGCTTCATTTAATTTACTTTTATCACATCCAGTTTGGATTGGTTAAAATATTTTATAGAATGAAACAAAGTAATTATTTTGATCTCTTCAAGCTATGCTTGTCTTTGAAGGGGAAAAAGAAAGTATTTGAATTCAATAACAACCTTAATTAGAGGTGACAATATGAGTTGAGTCCGTGAGCTCAACCTGTCAACTTACAAAAAGAAGTGAGTTAAGTTAAAAAAGTGAGTTTATTTTCACATAAATCGAATTTGGCCCATCCCATATAATTTAAACCTGTTGCACGTTGGTAGGTTAGCCTTCATTATTTAACAACTTTAAATTGTTAAATAGTAAACTCATTTATTTTAAAGGGTGACTTAGGTGAACAACTTACTAGAATGATTACTTTCCCAGGAATTTGGCTTGGAAAAACAATGATCAAACAGTAATTAGTCCCTCTAATGCTATGAGTTCGAGGGATGGCTCCGTTTTCCAACAGTACAACAAATTCTTCATCCTGCAAGCACCAAGCAGCGGACGAGGAAGTCAAAAAGAGACACAAATAGAATTTTAGATATCAACAGAACCCAGACAGATAAAGGCAAATAATAATAAGCCACGCCTCTATACGAAGTAATGAAAATTTCAAAGCTCCTTAAAACCACGCCAAAAATGGTAACAAGGTAAATGGTACACATGAGATCTCGGGTGATTTTAAGGCAGAGTTCAATCATGAGAATTTTTTGGTTAAAAGGTGAAAATTAATCAATACCACATTTATTATTTTAAATGTGTCTTGTATTTTTTTAAAAAATAATTTAGAAGGAGTCTTATTATTACCTGAATAATTAATTTTTAGAAATAAAACATAATTATTTTGATCATAAAAAAACTCAAAAAGAGATGAATTTATAATTTTTAAAATTTAAAAAATATTGTTGGTGGGTTAGCCCACAAACTAGTAGTGGGTTGACAAATTGGCCTATATATAACCAGCATAAGACGTGAGTTATGTCAACTCACCTTACAAAACTTGCAACCCGCTGCAGGCCAACTTACAAATCATAGATTAATTTATATTACTAGCTCTAATCTCAATTTATTCATTTAATGAATATCTCACGTAGAATGATAATACTCATTGGGTTCAATAAAAATGTTGTAGAGATGTTGTTATATAATACTAAAAAAATTTTAAATCTCAAATTTTTGAAGAAAATAATATATGTGATGAGTACTTTAATCATGATGATTGTTTTTAAATTTTTTTTAAAAAATATTTTTAATAATTTTTAAATATTAATAAAATTTAATGAATATCGTCGACGCACTTAATTTACTTTAGTTGAAAGCGCCGACCATTTTCTTGTTCACTAAGGCAAAGTGCAAGGAGCGCCAAGTAGCTTTTAATTACATAAAAGAACGCAATGCACAGCTTAAAGTGACATAGCACTAGCAATTATTTATTGATAATGATTGATAATTATTATTAATATAAAGTTAAAATATATTCTCTCCGTCTCAAATTATAAGATATTTTTAAAAAATTCTTTGGTTCCAAAATATAAGACACTAGTATTTTAAGTGAATTAAGGTTTCATTAAATACTTTAATAATATTTTTAAAATCAGATTGAATATTAAATCAAAAGTGCCAACAGTTTACGATTTGTATAGTTCAATCGGATTGGACCAATGGTTGATCGATGATATAATAATTAAATTAAAAAAATTATATATCTATATAATAATTTAAATATACGAAATAAATATGAAATTACTGTTTAACTTAAAAATAAAACTAAACATTTAAATTTTATCATGATTTAACAAGTTACATGATGCAATATAACATAAAATGATTAAAAAAATTAATCATTTTGTAAAAAATTTTGATAAAAAATAAAAAATAAAAAAATATTTTTTGAACGTTCAGATTTTTTAAAACTAGATTTGATTCCCATCTTGATCACGATTTCTAGTTTGACTGTCAGTTCAAAGTGACTTAATCCTTCAAACAATTTTTTCATGCTGAGTGAGACAAAATCTAAATTAGTCAACCATCTAATCCAATTTGGTTTTTTAATCATAGTGCTTCAACCATTAAATGTTAAACCAATTAACGTGTTTGTCCGGTGCAATGCCTGTTCCCCAACGAAGGCAGATAATTGACGATTCCCTCACCCATAAGCCAGAGTAATATAATATATTTATTTTGAGCAATATTTTGTCGATAAAAAAAAATGAATTTTCAATCTAATTGAACGATTAACTAATTCACTATAATGCTATCTGTTGATATCCTATAAATATAAAATATTATTTTTGTTGTAATAACTTTAATTTGTGTGGCAGTGTGGGTGTTAAAAAAGAGAAGTCTCACATTATTTAAGATTAATGTGAAAGATTTAATACGCTCATTATGTTCCTCTATATATATATATATATATATATATATTCATATGGGAAAGAGAGAAGAATTTTTGTGTTACATTTATAAGGTATATTTTAAATTTTTTTTGGAAAAAATTCCCTTTCACCATTACATGTTGGTGAGAGAAAATAAATTATTAAAATATGTATGTTTAATAGGGCAAACCTGGAAGCTTATTAAATTTATAAAGAGAGATCATGAGTTTTAAAATTTTCTTTAATTTTAATAAAATATAAAAAAGGATAGAAGAGTATATATTAAGATTTGTACTAGAGCAAGTAAATAGATTGAGAGCAATATTTTAAAAGCCGGATTGGATGTTGAATCGAAAAAAGTTAGTGATTTTCAATTTTTATGGGCTAACTGGTTAACTAACGGTTAGACTAATGATGCAATAATTAAATAAAAATAATATTAAATGTACATATAAAATAAATATAAGAAAAAAATTTATAGTATGTTAATAAAATGACATAACATGATCGTAAATTAATAATATTATAAATTATAATTTTATAACTTATTAAATATATGTAAATTTTAGTTAAATTAGATAGAAGTAAGTTTAAAAATATCTGTATTTGCATATATATCTATCAAAGTTTTTATAAAAAATTAGTCTCGAATTATATTTTATATATGTGAATTGTTCAAAAATAAAGTTGGACTTTAATAGTATCTAATTTTTAAATTTTTTTTGTTTTCTTTAAATTTTTTAAGCTTTTTTAAATATTATGTTTAAAATCATCCTTTGTGAAAACCGCTACAATTCTCAATTTAACTCTGATTTTTAACTTAATAGTGACTCAACTCTAATTTAATTTGGTTCAATCATAAAAATAATTTTTTAATTCAAATCAAGCCATTAACTACTCTGATCAACAATTCAATTATTTAGTTTAGTTTGAATTTTAAATCATTGACTGGGAGCAAGAATGGGCTTATGAGTCCAACAGAAGGCATGTACGGCTAAAAATGGGGCAATATATCTCTCATGCGCTAGAGTTAAATGCAATGTCAGCAATTATTTTCATTAACAACCTTTTATTTCCAATGTTCAAAACTGGCCCTTGAGTGCTGCGAGTTCAAGGGATTTAGATCATCTTATTATCTTTCAATATTCTCTGTACGCAATCTCATTGATCCATTTAATGGTGTCAAATTGCAATTATAACATTAAAATAAATATACTATTCATTTAATAATTATAATAAATAAGAATTATGAATTTATTTTCAAAAGCACATTTAAGTGATCATAATAATCTATTTCATTTTAATACCATGATTAGCAATATAATACCTTTAAATAAAAAAATTAAATGAATGAATAAGAGTAAGTATGAAAAAATGCATTAAGATAAAGTATAGAGAGAATCTAAATCTAAGTCAAAACACATTACTTTTGAGTTATGAAGCAACTTCATGTATTCATTTTAATATCATGTCCAATACCGACGCTTCTTTGATATATATCCATAGACTACTGAAATATTATTTTTAAATTTTAAGAAATTTTATTTTTGATACATATCCAATATTTTAAGTCTATTTTTAAGAAATTAAATTTTATTAAATATTGTGGTATCAATTTTTTTTGTTTCTAATATATTTTTATGATTTGCTTTTAAAGTTAATGATTAAATTTTTCTTAAAAAAATAAGTTTTAGACATAATAAAAGGATAACAATTTGATTTTTTAATTATAAAAATGTAAGAATATAATCTTTTAACATATAAACTTTAAGTATAGAAATATTAGCAGAGACAAGGCAGTAGGTAATTAAGTAAAGATGTAAGATAAGTATAATTAATAATTATGTTTTGCTTAGTATTTCTATAAAAAAACTATATACATATGCTAGGTTTGATATTTTCTAAATTGAAATCATATTTTTTATATTTTTATAATTTTTTTATAAATATATTTGCACATATTAGAAACATATCATATTCTACATTTTTGAAAATAAAAATATCGACGTATTTGATACATATGCAACATAGCTTTTGAGTTTCCAAGCACTCTTTTTTCATTCCTTATCATTTGTGTATTTCTATTGCCGTATCGATCACCTTGGTTTCTTGTAATGAGGGTTTGTTTAATTTTAGAGAGTTGCTGATGTGTAGTAGAATATTTTTTAATGACAAAGTTGTTGAGCACGACTTGGACCAGAATTACCACTGCTGCCAACAATTCTTTCTTTCTTTCTTGTTTTTTTTTTTTTTTTTACCGAAACAATTATTTCATTTAAATCACTTGGATTTTAGCTTTTCCCCCATGTATGAAACCTTAGTGATGAAGAAAATGGCAGGTCCGTTAACTAAAGTAAAGCCTACTTTTTTTTTCCTTCCTCATTTACCCCTACTTTTCCCCACTTCATTTCATAAAATATTTCACACCCATCTCCATATATCTTACTACAATTTAATCATTAAACTTTGAATCATTGGTTTGTGTTGAAAACATTCACAATTACACTCATATAAATCTCACCCAGGCTTCAATCATATATATGTTTGCAGATCATCATCAAGATGGAGCCGGACCAGAGTTCAGACTCCAACAGCGAAATTATTCAGAACCTTGTTCCTTCTCCGCCGTCGTCAACCTCCGATGAAGCTGAGAGGAAGAGGAAGAGGCGCGGGATTCACTTGATGCCTCGGCAGAGGGCGAGGTGGAGGAAGATGGTGCACGTAGGAAATCTCAGATGTGAGGTTGAGAGCCTGAGATCGGAGAATAACAAGCTTCATCGGATCCTTAAACTCAACTTCGAATCCCATCTTAGGGTTCTTGAGGACAACTCTAAGCTCCGGCAAGAAGCTTCCCATTTTCGCCTGTTCGCTGGGAACGATCTTCTGCAACGATGGCTCTTCACTTTCATTATCATGAATCTAGTAATGTTATTCTTTCTTCCTCGACCTCCCATGAAACCGCCGGGCAAATGATGGCTCCGAGGAGGAGGACGAGGAAGACGGATTTGGGATGTCTGCTCCTTGTCGTGCATGCTTGTTTTAATGTCCAAATTAAAGTCTCAGGATTGGGTTTTCCTCTCAGTGTCTCTCTCTCTTTCTTGCACTTACATGAGCCAGTGGATTATATTTGAAAAAAACATAAAATTTTAAGAAAATAAATAAATAAAAACCTGCCGATGTGAGTGCATGAAAAAAATCAAGAGAGATGCATAGGCAGGTCCAAAATCTGCGGTCATTCATGTAAAGAAATTAAATGATTTGGTTTTTTTTTTATTATCATTAGTTGAAATAAATGGTGGAAGCTGAGATTTTGAAGAGGAGAGAGCATCTCTCCATATTAAATCTCATTCACTTATTTAATTATGCATTTTGTTTAATGACATAAGATTGCTAACTTTGACAATAAAATAAGCATAATATTCCTTTACCAATTATCATTATTAATAAGCAGAATGATCTTATTTTTAAAAGAGAAAGTAGCGATGAAGGATCTCTGAAAAAAATTTATATCAATCAAGAATTGTTTGTTATTAAAATTTGAATAAAAAAAAGCTTAAATAAACTGTTATTAATTTAAAATAAATTATTGTCAAAATATAGATGGATACTTGTTGATAGAAGACTGACTCAAATCAACAAGTATTCATTTAAATTTTGACAATAAATAATCTTTCATTGATATAAATTTCCTCTAATGGTCCCTAATTGATATTTTCTCTTTTTAAAAGCATTTAAGTAATGATAGTGAATAACATAATTATTTTAATACCATAATTATCAAATCTCACACCATCAAATCAAAACAATAATTAAACCGATTTATTCAAATCTAAATCCGAATGAATTTCCACTTTCAATTCCTATATATTTCATCTGCAATGTATTGTTTTGTGTAGTTTGATATTTCGGGCGCTCAATATAAGACAATAAAATAATTATATATTGCCAATGGACTTGTAGCTTGATTAGTGGCATGTAATATAAACTCCCTCAAAAGTGGGAGGTAGCAAGTTTGATCCAGCTTGCAACCTAAAGATTTTAGTGTTGGCTACTCTAACTCCAAAAAAAAAAAATTAGGCATCAAATCATCTATTATTTGATTCATTATTTTTTTGGTCTTACATTTATTAAAACACTCATGTTAATTTATTATTTACAACGGTTAATTAATAAATTGATAATGTCAATGTCAAAAATAATTTTCAAATATTCTCAAGAAACAAGCTCATCAGACTTCATACAGTGACGGGCTACAGGAGCTGAAATCCATATTCATGTTTAGTTGACTGTGTGTGTTATTGCATCTCACATAACAAGGTTTTCTTGAATTTTCATATTGCAAATGAAAACGAATACACACGGCCTCAAATATTGTGTCACATGAAATATTTTCAATAAAACTTGGTTATTTTTATTATAATAATGTTGCTACAGTACATCACGTACTGTTTACATTTTTAAATTTTTAAATATCTTACATTTCTTTTTGTATATGTGTCACGGATGGGCTAGAATCACATGGCTTGGGTTTGTCGTTGCCAACTAATGGGCCAAAGGTGACGATTGGGCTGAGGGGTAATGGGCTTGACTGTTATATCGAAATTCAAGGGGGTGAATGTGCAGCGTGAATGACGCATAAATAATATTCTTCTTGGACCATAATATAAATTATTATTAATTAATTTATATTTTTAAAAAAATTGTTTAAAATTTTGATTTCCTAAAACTTTTGAAATTTTTCCAATCGTTCCCTTGAGTGTAATAAATATAACATTTATACTATATTTGGATACATATGAATTTGGATTTAAACCAAATTTATTGTTTGGATAATTAATAATGTATGGATTTGGATTTAATCCAAATCTAAATTTAAGTTCTACCTCAATTTTTCTATAATTTAAAATCTTTTCTAAACTCTTATTATTTAAAATCCTAATTTAATCTCTTTTGTAACTTGATCCAAATCCACGAAGTGTTGATTGGCCCATCAAAGGTAATTGGATTGGACCATTAAAGTTGATAAAAACAAGCCTCTACCATTGATCAGCACTGGATGGTTGACTTCCATCAGGATAGGACCTACGGAGATTATTGAGATTGGAAGGTTGATTTCCACTGGGACCAGATCGTCGACGACGGGGATTGAATAACTGACTTTAACCAGGACTCGACCATCGATGACAACTGAGACTAGATGGCTGACTTTCACAAGGACTGAACTAATGGTGACGATCAAGAGTGGACCAAACTAACAGCGATGATGATGATAGGGTTTGGATAGTCGACTTCCTCTGGGATCAGATCGACAGTGGGCAGTAAGGCTGAACAGCTGATTACTATTGGGACCGAACTAACGGTGATGACATGGAATGAACGGCCGATTTCCATCTAGATAGGATTGATAGCAATGGCAATGATCGAGACTAGATTGGATTGATGACAATGACCGGGATTAGATCAGACTGATGGTGACGATCGAGACAGGAAGGTGGCGACAAGTAAGACCGGACATCTAACTTCCAATGGGACGGGATAGATGGTGACTACTAGGAGGGGACTAGACCAATGATAACGAGGGTCAGATGGTTGAGTTCCATTAGGACCATACTGATGGTGATGATTGGGATAGGACCTGACCAATGACAATGGCAACAATTGGGAGTGGACGGTTGAGTTCTATTGAGACTTGACTGGACTGTCATCTTCTAATAGGATCGATTGTCGATTCAGTCCTATTAGAAATGGGCTGTCTGATCCTTGTCATCATTGTTTTAGTCCCAGTTGAAGTGGGCCGTCCTGTCCTGGCCCTCGCTACATGTCAAGTCCTAGTGAAAGTTGGCCGTTCGGTCTTAATCATTACCGTCGGTTCAGTCCGATGGCAGTCCAACTCTAGTCCTTGCTGTAGGTTTAGTCCCAATAAAAGTGGACCTTTAGGTCTTGATCAACGCTATTGATTTAGTCTTGGTGGAAGTCGACAAACCTGTGCTGATCCTTATTGTCAGTCTAGTTCTGATAAAAGTTGGCCATTCAATCCTCGTCATTGCTATCAGTCTGGTCCTATTGGATGTGGGTCGTTTGGTCCCTATAATTGTTGTCGTCGGTGTGATCTCAATAAAGGTCACCTATCTGATCCCCATCATCGAGGTTAGTCCGATCTTGGTGGAAGGTAGCTATCTGGTTCTAGTGGAAGTCGATTGTCTCATCCCAATCGTCGTTGTCGGTCCATTCTCGGTAGAAGTTGGCCATCTTATTCTAGTCCTCATTATCAGTTCGATCCCTGTAGAATTTAATAGTCCGATCTCGATAGGTCGGCCATTTGATCTTAGTTATGTTTGTCAGTTCATTCTTGATGGAAGTCGGCTATCCCGTCCTAATCCTCATTGTTGGTCCTGTCTTGGTGGAAGTTTGCCGTCCGATCTCAGTCGTTGCTTCAGTTCAATCCCAGTGGAAGTCGACTATCTCGTCTCAATCGTTGTCAGTGCTACAATCCCAATCAATTTTTATTGTTTGATCTCGGTGGAAGTTAGCCATTGGGACTGCGAGCTTTGACTAATCATTCAAGTTTCTTTTAAATTCAAATATAAAATATAAAATTTAAAATTTTACTAGATCCCAACAAAAAATTTAAAGTTTATGAATTTTAAATGTGAGATTTTAAATATAAAATTTTAAATACAAATTCTCGACTTAAATTCACCATCCAAATACAACATTAACTTATTCAAATCACCTTCATTCATTACTCAATAAACCAATGTGTAATTGGAAACGAACACATAACATGCATCGAATGTTTTGTATTTTAGACAAAATAAAACATCCAAAAAATAACTTATATTGTCGTCTAGAAGGAGTATTGATGAATTATCTCCCTTTTCTCTAACCGTTCTGCTATGCTTCTTTATGTTTCTCATGGATAATGCTGTTAATGCTTTTATTTGGTTCAAATCAGCTTTAGCCGATTTGTCTATTGCCTTTAGCTTGTCGATTAATGAATATTTCCATTTGAATATCATTGTTCCTCCAGTCTTCTCTATAATTTTTGCCTAGCAGGATGAGTGATCATTACGATATGTTTCATTATTGTTGTCTATTTAGTATTTAGTATATGTTATTCACTTAACTTTTTTATATTATTATGATAATTACTCGATTAAGTTCATATGCTTTTAACGTATTTTGATACTAGTTTTTATATTATTTTTTATCACTCCTGGTCTCTTAATTAAGTTTCATATGTTTACAATGTTAATCTCTATATTTTTAAACATAACTATAAAGACTTAATAATAGCTAATATGGACAAAAACATGATACTTTTTTATATTGGCTTGTTAAAATCATAAGGAATTGTATAAAAATAAGTAGCAGGCAAAAAGAACAAGTATGACCTTAAATCCCAATTTGTGCATGTCATCCTTGTTCAAGGGCCTTGCTACATGATTGTTAGGTAGAAAGGTTAACAACTATTTTTTCTCTTCAATTCATCATAATTTCATTAACTCAGCAATTGAATTAATATAACTATGCACACGCTAACAGATTTAACTCTATTACTCACAATAAATACTAACATTGTAGATTGATGAAATTTAAGAAAATTGCATGAAGCAATGAAAAAAAAAATATAGAGACTATCACAAAAATATGCTAAAAATACAGCGGCTAACAATTATATTTTTTATATTATTAATAATAATATACAAGTGGAATGGTGAGAACAAGTTCCAAAATAAATTCACATTGGATTTAACTTATTTATTAGTAATTGCAAGAGCTTTCCATGCAACACATAGGTTCTCTACTTGAATTATAGATAAGTTAAAATGAGTGTAAAAAAATGTCTAGCATATCAAGCAAGATGTTTTCCTTATCAATGTTACATGTTAATTTATTAAACCAGTCTCAATTTCTAAATATTGTACTATCATACAAGATATTAAAAATCTGTTTATTCTAATTGTTAGTGATTAAGGAACATCACTAATTTATTACAAGTTTTCCTATAACTGAAAGATAGTTTCTACAAAAGCTTTGAAAAAGGTTTTTGCAAGAATTCCAAAAACTTAAA